TTTTTTTTTTTTTGGTTTACTGTTGTGATGTCAGGCTAAAGTGTTTCATTATGGATCAATAAGCTTGATTGTGGAGCCATGCAGATCAGCACACCTAAAGGCAATGGAAGTGGCAAAAAAGGCTGGTGCACTGCTTTCATATGACCCGAATCTCCGATTGCCACTGTGGCCTTCAGCTGACGAGGCACGGAACCAGATTTTAAGCATTTGGGACCAGGCAGATGTGATCAAGGTCAGTGATGTTGAGCTGGAGTTCCTCACTGGGAGCAACAAAATTGATGATGAAACTGCCCTGTCTCTCTGGCGGCCGACTAGCAACTTGAAGCTCCTTTTAGTCACCCTTGGTGAAAATGGAAGCAGATATTACACCAAGGTATTCATCTCTTTCCAATGTGAAAACTAAAGTTGGTTGCGTTATCAATTTTGACTTTTAGCTCTAATGGTAGTGGGTTGGTAGGTAATGCTTTCGTATGCAACCACGCGCTAGAGTTTGTAGTCGATAATAAAATGCTATTTTTTGATGTATTTGTTTTAAATTCTAATGCTGGATTTTAGTGCAAACTGTTGAATTTGAAACAGTCATTTAAAAAAGAGCAAGAGTTTATAATATACTAGCTAGTACGTGCCCTGTGTTGAAACATGGATGCCCATTGCTTGATGCCAAGCAGTACGACGCAAACGGCATGTTTTATGCTGTTTAACGTTTTCATTTTAAAACAGGGAAAGCAAGTAAGGGTTTATTGGTCAAATGCTTTTAAGTTAACCCCCAACTTAGCAACTCGTATTTTTTTTTCAATGTATTTTACTTGGGTGGTAGTTGGGTGGATCTTATGTACCATACCTTTGAATATTAGTGTGCATTATTCATGCAAATGTATATTCCCATATTCTATTGAAAACAAGGGTCTGTTCTTATTCTGGCCCCATTAAGATTCCACTGAGCACCCCATCTAAAAGAAATCATGGTTTTTCTTTTTTCCTCCTTTTGATATTTTATTGGAGAAGAAAATTAGGTGTTAACAAATGAGGGTTGCTTAAGAGTGTTGCCTAATGCTCAAATCTCTTTCTTGGTTGTACAAATATAGAATTTCCGTGGAGCAGTTGATGCTTTTCACGTCAACACAATTGATACAACTGGTGCTGGTGACGCATTTGTTGGTGCCCTTCTATGCAAGATTGTAGCTGACTCATCCATTCTCGAGGTAAGCTCATTTTAATCAATTGCGATTGATCGTTATTATCCAATCCAAAATTAAAACACTAGCTTCCTTTGATTCTTAACGTGTTTCGCATCTTAATTATGTTTTCTAATTATCCAGGTTAAGTTTAAGATTGTGACTTGTTCCCACTATGCTAAATATTTCCTAACGTTTGCTTCCTTTGCAGAATGAATCAAAATTGAGGGAAACGTTAAGATTTGCAAATGCATGTGGGGCCATCACAACCACCAAGAAGGGAGCAATCCCAGCTCTTCCTAATGAGGCCGATGTTCTCACCTTGCTGAAAGGAGCAAATTAAACTTCAATAATTGCACATCTCCCACCCCTATTTTTCTTTTTTGTTTTTATTTTTTAAATTGCGTTCCCGTGAGGGTGAAATTAGAATCTCTCAGTTTTTAATTTCCCCCTTTCCCTTATTTCCCTGTACTTATGAAAGACGCGCTTAGAGGCATTAGGGAATAAATCCTTTTTCTTGTTTGGCATGATTTATGTCTTCTGAAGTAGAGAGTGCAGTGACTTGCACTTGCAACTATCATTTTGGGAGTAAAAGTGCAAATAAGTATTTCAACTTTGCATTTTTTTTTATTTAAGGATGTTAGTTTTGTCAGTTTCTAAATAAGAATGTCAATTTTTAATTTTTTTAAAAAATAAAGATATTAACTTTTAATTTTTTTTAAATAAGGATGTTAATTTTATCAGTTTTTAAATAAGGATATCAACTTTCAACATTTTTTATTTAAGGATGTCAACTTTCAACTTTTTCTATTTAAGGGTTAATTAAATAGTGATGTTAACATATTTTTTTGGGTTAAATATTTGAATTGGTCCCTCGACTTTTATTTTTGAACCAATTTATCCTTAAATTTCAGAAAGTACCAAAAACATCCTTCAACTTCAATTTTCAATTTTGTCTTTCCATCAATAAAATGTTAATGTAGCTAATTTTTTTTGCTAAGTGATTGACTATTTTACATTTTCAATATTAGGTGGAAAATCCATCATGTAAAAGATGATTATGTGGATTTTTTTAATTTTAAATAATTTACAAACTACGTTAATTCTTAATTTTACTTTATTTATATTTAAAAATTAAAACAATTAATATATTTTCCTATTTAATTAGTCCCACCTACCATTTAATAAAATTAAATAAAATTTAATTAATTCTTTCATGAATTAAGACATAATTTTATTAATTGAAAATTGAAGTTGAAGGACGTTTTTGGTACTTTCTGAAGTTCAAGGATGAATTGGTTCAAAAATAAAAGTTGAGGACCAATTCAGGTATTTAACCTAAAAAATATGTTAGCCCCGTAAACGTCACTATTCAATTAATCCTTAAATAGAAAAAAGTTGAAAGTTAACATCCTTAAATAGAAAACGTTAAAAGTTGGCATCTTTATTTAAAAACTGACAAAATTAACATCATTATTTAAAAAAAAATTGAAAGTTAACATCATTATTTAAAAACGAACAAAATTAACATTTTTAAATAAAAAAAATGTAAAATTAAAATCTTTATTTACACCTTTACTCGTCATTTTGGTGTTGCCTTTCTTGATTGTTTTATTTTCTATTTTATTGTTTATTGTGAAACGTAAAAAGGAAGCAAAACGGCTCATCTTTCAATTTCCAACCAACTTTTGAGCATGGTACATGATTGGACTAGAGTTGGGTGGAAGTTGGCACTAGTATCACTGCATGTAGTTTATGGCCAAGTGTAATTTTAGACAATGTTTGGTTTGAGCGAAAGTAAGAGAATAAAGAAATAAATTATTTAATTAATCAAATTGTTGTAATAGAGTTCATTATTTTCTGCCTTTTCATTTCCTTTAAACTCTTTTCATTTCCTTTAAACTAAACATAATGGCTCTGAAGTCTTGAGTTCCATCTAGGGCAACAACAACATCCCATAGAGTGTTGTTGTTGGTAATATCCCAAAATTTCCCTCATTCAAGAGGAAAAAAAGTGGTGAGGAGCTAAGTCTAACCACAATAGCCATTTCTCAAAAAATATTGAAGACTAATCCAACTACTTTGTGGCCAAAAAATGGGATTTTACTTTTTAAGGCTAAAATAAAAATAATTTTGCTATTAACAAAGCGATGCATTGTTCGGGTCAAAAAAGAAAAAAAAGAAAAAAAGAAAGAGTGATGTGCTGACAGTCTGACACCCTTTTAAGAGAATGCCATCTACCTACTACTGTTTTCCATCCTTGGGCTTATTTTAATCTTCATTACAACTTGTCATGGGTGATAGGCCCTCCAAATATGGTTTTACCATAGGTACCAACGCTTTTGGTCTTTCAACACTTCTAAGCATGAAGGAACGGTGGGGAGCTAGGGTTGAAATTTGAAAGTATCAGTGTTGACCATTGCTACAAGACAATGGCCTGCGGATAGCATTCGGCAACCTCCATCTTCAAGGATCTCCAAGTATGCTTGCATTTCTCCCACTTTGAGTGCATGCTGGCCAGGAACTTCACCGCCCATGGTTCTTTGTTCCCTCCCATGCTCAGATCATACGGCACTGAGAAACTGCCAAGTAATTTAGTGACTTGAGACTTGACAACCGTAAAGAATTAAGGATTGACGAGAGCAACCCGTTTTAAGTTGTTTTGACCATGCAATAATGTAAGAGCTTACCTCATTAGTTCTTCAGGCTGAGACCCTTTATTGGGAGTAGCATGCCTGCAATAGTTTGAAATTTAAACTGACTTGACTTTCTTCCAACCAAAGTATATGACTAAAAGCAAGCTAGTATTTAGATGTTTGGTAAAAAGATTATGCACATCCTCAGAAGGAACAAACCTGCACACCAATATTTGGTAGATACGAAGAGATTTGGTTGAAAGATTGTATATAGCCTCTTCAATATGGTCCTTGCCAAACAAGTACACAACTGGATATCCGAGAAGCCATCTAAAAGAGATCAAGTGATGAATTTATAGACACCAAGAGCAAAGAAAAAACACAGTTATACTGCATTACAAGGAAAATTAAATTGACGTTCTACAAATGTGCAAGATCCATTATGACATTTATCTCATAATAACATCACAACTTAGGATAAGCAAATATGATGCGAAAAATGAGGTGAAAAAGAATTACCCGTTTAAAGTTGGCACAGTAACCTGATTATCAAGCATGCAGCGACTGAGATCAATAACTTCTGAAGAATGAGAAGTGGTGGGTTCAAGGGAGGATTTGGAGTTAGGCATGTCAGTTATCCTGTCCTGTGGCAATGGATCATTGTTCATTCTATCGGGAGGAAAAGATAAAGAGAAAAACTTCTGAATTGACATAAGCTGCATTCCTAGTGAGCTTTTCTCTTCCATTGCCGTCATCTAGAACAAAAAGGAGAAGAACTTCATTCAAATAATGCAAATTGTTGCATCATTTAGAGTGGAAATGAAAATTTACATAAAAAGAACATGAAGCATGGTGAAAACCTTTGGAGGGTCCTGTTCTAAATCCACATATAGAAGCTCTGTTTCAGAGTTCAAGCTCGATCTCACATATTCAGCCAGTTCTTTCACATGTATCAAATAAATCATGTCTTCTATAACCATTACTCTTAGGTGTTCAAAAATGGTGGACTCCTGAGTGAAATCATATTGGAATATAGGAAGTTAATTTTCAATTGGAAAATAACTTAAATAGAAAAAGAAAATTTTATGGCCAAAAGCAATGATCTTCTAACACGTCTAATTCGACTGCCTACCTGATGCAGAATCTACAGGACAAACCATATGCTTGTAATAACAAAAAAAGTGCTGAACAAAAGCAAACTTCAAAAATATAAAGTTGATGCAGGGATTGAAGGCTCTTCCCCTTTTCCTCTTTCCAAAAAAAGGAGCAAATGTATGGTATTGAGGTAAATGGAACACCTCTAAACTGATGACAAATCAGCATGTATAGTAGTCATATCACAAGCCAGTCAAAACCAAACTCCAGTAGGTCCTAAACATATCTAATCTACTCATATGCAGCATGGCACCAGACATAGCATTAAGGAAACATCAATGAATGATATAAAATACAATGAAATATCGAAATTAAAATGCTAAACTAAGGATGGTTTGTAGGGAAAAGCAGAAGACAGGTGAGCAGGCAAGTCAAACAGTATCAATGTTAACATTCAAAGTATCAAATAGAGGCAGAATGAAAGCCTTTGATTAAGAGTCCCAAAGTAAACCTTTTGAATGTGATGAAGAAGTGCACACAGATGCTCTTGTAATTCTGGCATCTTTCCTCCATAGTCAATCATCACAACTGGCCTCATTCCAGTACACAACGCTAGAATATCTGTCCAATAATTTCCCAAAATTAATAATAATATATCCTCTAACTGGAGTAAAGTAAAGTTCTTTTTTTTTTTTTTCCTGGGGCCAAGGAGTGTAGTAAGTATACATCTTTGAATTTTTCCATGTAAACCCAGAAACCAAAATGAAAGATAAACCATGTTACTGCAGAAATTTTAACAAAAACTAAGAGGTAATATAGTTTAATTCTTTGAGTAAGAATTCTATATCACATCGTTTGCTTATGAATGAACCAGAGAAAGCTCAACAACTTAAATGAATCTAAACCTTTCAAAATATGTAAGCTTCTAGCCATTTTAAACAAAGGGAATTCTATTAAAAAAAAAAAAGGCAAAAACTTTGGATTTACTTTTTCTCCCCTCCATTTTCTCATAAGGAACAGAGCAAAATTGAACACAATAAACGAAGTCAATCAAAGGAAAAAGAAAACATGAAGATAAAAAGAATCAATCAGAAATATTCAGAGAGGAAATAAAAAGAAGAGACCTATTTCAAGTCGACGCTTAGAAGGAGCTTTAAGCCGCCATTTGATGTGAGAAAGTGAGGCGTCCAACACCTTCAGTGTTTCCTCCATTTGCAAAACAGAAGCTCCAACTCCAGAGCGCATACCATACCATCAGAGAAAAGATTCACAGAAGTCTCCTGCTGGAATCAGGTGTTGAGGTAACCATGGGCCTTATCTCCAATCATTTGGGCCGATTTTGGTCCAACTTGGTACAGGCCCATATCATGATCCACGTCACTCATCGAATACCAGAACACTGCCAAACGCGCCTTTATTGCTCTCTTTCACCGTCGCTTCTCTTCGTTCTCTGTTTCCGCTGCCGCGTGCCTTTTTGCGGGGAAGCGTCGCCGGAGCTCCGATTTCTCGCCGCTGTACTCGTTGGCTTATCACTTCTCGTGTTTAGGTTCTTGTTGTTTTAGATCCAAATCTATACCTATCGATGCCTGTACATAATTTTTCCGATGATTCTTCTGGTTTCTCGTAACGATTTATGATCTGAATTTCCAGATGTAATACTTGAATCAGAATAAATTAGCAGTTAGCCTGTCACTTTAGATTTGCGAACTCACTGAAGTTTAACTTCATTTCTATCATTCTTGGATTTGTAGTTAGAAATTTGAGTTTCACCACTGGTGAGAAGTAATTCGAGCTTCTTTCGAAGCGAATTTGTTCTGAGTTTCCTGAATATTTTTGTTTCGCTACAGAAATGTATAATAACTTGGGAGCACAGTCTGGGGCGCCACAACCGGCAACAAATCCTCAGCCAAACCCATTTGGAAATGCATTTTATGGGGCTGGTTCTGGTCTTATCCGTGGGGGTTTGGGTGCATATGGTGAGAAAATTCTTGGCTCGAGTTCTGAATATGTCCAAAGCAATGTAAGTATTATTAGTCCTTTTTTTTTTTTTTTTCCTGTTAGTTGTAGTTGTGCAGTATTTTTACCTTTGTACCTCTGTTCATGTTACATAATGCATTTGAGTTTGTTATTAAGGGCAGCTAGATGCAGTCTCCAATAAGATTTTGGGATCCCAAATTAGTTTCTGTGGTGACTTGGTGTGTCTGACATGCTGTATCTTTTATAAAATGATGTTGGACGCTAATGAGGAATGTTAGAACTCAGAACACCAGAATGGTCCTTATTTTATTGTAGTTTTAAATTCATTAAAGCCCTCATTTTTATTCTGTTTCTCAATCATGATGTTTGTTTTTGCCTCATTGATCATTTATCATACATTTCCTTAAAATGAACAGATAAGTAGGTATTTCTCTGATCCCCAGTACTACTTTCAAGTGAATGATCAGTACGTGAGAAACAAATTGAAGGTTGTTTTGTTTCCTTTCCTGCATAGGGTGAGCAGTACAATCCATCACCATTCTCTTCATGGCACTCGTTCTTTTCATTGTAATTACATTCTTATTTTCCTGCCTTTTTATTCAGGGCCATTGGACAAGAATAACTGAGCCAGTGGGAGGCCGGCTCTCGTATAAGCCTCCACTCTATGATATAAATGCACCTGACTTGTACATTCCATTTATGGCCTTTGGTACCTACGTGGTTCTTGCAGGGCTATCATTGGGTCTTCAAGGAAAGTAAGTGTTCTTTTCTATTGTTTGGCTTCAACGTTTTCTTTTCTGTGTTGGCATAATTGAATGTATATTTTAACTTGTTTGGAACCAGAAATTTTCAGCATACGTTGTTTGCTTTGCTTTCTTGTAATTCCATTTGATATACAATGACAAACAATTTCACTTTAGATGTCCAAAATGCTAACTACCATAACTTAGGCACAATTTAGGCTTCACTTTCTGTTTTACCCATTTCTCCCATTCATTTTATCCCCATCTGGCTGTCCCCCAACCTCTTGTCTCTTGCAACCCCTTAAGAAGGAAGAAGAGGAAAAAAGAAAAGAAAAGAAAGGTGCTGCTTCTGTATTTTGCATTGGGCTTAATCAAGGAGTTAGTGAGCTAGTGTATATTGTCTTTGTGTCTAATCTGATATTTTTTGTACTAGAACATGGCCCATAACTTGGGCAATTCAAGGGCCTTTTAGTTGATGTAGTACTGGTGTGATAGATCATTGTCTAACTAGTGGTTTATGTAGAGTAAGAGCTTGAAAGAGAGAATGTTATTGTTCTGGTGTGCTACTTTGGTTATTAATTACAGTCTTTTTGACGCAAAAGTGTCTTATTTTGGTGGTTTCTTTTGAAAATTTGATTGTTGCTTGAGTTTGAAACATGGTGTCATTTTTTTCCTCTTTGAGAAACCTCTTGGTTATTTTTATCATTCTATTAATGACTGCGTTTATTCAAGCATTCTGCATCATTGTGTTCCTCGCTATCTTGCTTAGTTGGTTTTCTTTTACTTTAATTAAATCACTCTTTTCTCTTCTTTCTCCCTAGGTTTAGCCCAGAAGCTTTAAATTGGCTGTTCATTAAGGGTTTGCTTGGCTGGTTTCTGCAATTCATGCTTCTCAAAGTAACATTACTTTCATTGGGTGGTGGTGAGGCTCCTTTACTCGACATCGTGGCATATGGTGGCTATTCTTTTACAGGGATGTGCCTTGCTGTTCTTGGAAGGATCATATGGAGATACTCATACTACTTTTTGATGCCATGGACCTGCATATGTATGGCAATCTTCTTGCTCAGGACAATGAAGAGAGTCCTCTTTGCAGAGGTCAGGAGTTACGATTCCAGCAAGCACCACTACCTTTTGCTCTTTATTGCCTTGGCACAATTCCCACTTTTTACCTGGCTTGGCAACATTAGTGTTAACTGGCTATTCTAAAACTGCATCCTTTGAACTTTGTCAAAACAATTCTGTGTATATATATTAGCATTTGCGGTGTTCCTCCATTGCCTATTTTGAAAAAAAGAAAGAAAGAAAGAAAAAAAAAAGCTTATAAGTTGTTTTAGGCAATTCTTCTACAATATTTTATTGCAAATGTGGCCAATTTTTTTAATTTGTTATATTCGTATAAACCTGACTCCTTTTTCTTGCAAAAGTTGGTAACAAAAAACTTTCTTCAAACGCTCCTGGTGCTTTGTTGCAAGAAAATAATGTAAAATCTAACATGGAGGTATGATCCTATTGAACTCCAGGAATTCTCTATTTTCCATTTTCTTAAATAGGTACAGGCTCATGTGAAATCGGTAAATAATCTCCAACCATCACTGGCTGTTATTGGCTGCAGCGCAATCTGAAGCTGGCTGTTGCCCTCCATGGCACAACTCGATACTAGTTGGACACTTCAGGCAGTTCATTGCAAGACTGCCCCTAATCTTCACCTTGTAAAACTCTTGAGGAATACTTCCTGTCAGGAAGTTGTTGTCCAAGAACAACCTTCTCCAGGGTCGCCCCAGTTTTGCTCCATATTCACTGGGGATACTACCAGTGAACCGATTTTGGGCTAGATTGATTGTCCTTAAATTTTCATAGGTGACCAATCTGACAGGCAAATGGCCATGCAGAAGGTTCCCCTGAGCATCAAGTTCCCGCAGCTGTGACACCCTCCCGGTAGAATCGTTCACCGATATGACTGTGAACTCATTGAATGAAACATTTATCCGATTTACTTGAGGCAAGGTAAGGATTTCCTCTTTAATTTCTCCTGAAAGCCTGTTATTGTTCAGATCCAGGATTCTTAGTTCTGTGATTCTTTCCACTGGAGTAATATGTCCTGAAATAAGGTTGTTCGCCAGGGACAGGGTTCTCAGGCTTATAGGAAGCTGTGGAATGTTTCCATAGAGCACGTTGTGGTCAAGCATTAATGTACGCAGCCGCCATAGACCACTCAGGTTAGGAATTCTTCCCGAAAACTGGTTGTTGGACAAGCTTAGGTACAACAATCTCCGTATCACAGACAGATCGGCAGGTATTGAACCGGAGAGGTGGTTTGTTGACAGGTCTATCAACTCCAGCGTCTTGATATTGGTTATATCACTAGGGATCCCGCCGGTGAAGTAATTTCCAGACAGATTTAGCTTGCTGAGCTTCTCTAGGTTGGCTATAGTGTTGGGTAATGGTCCCCGGAATCTATTATTGCTAAGATCAAGGGCAGTGAGCTCAGTCAGGTTTCCAATTGCTGGCGTTAGATACCCTTCATAGCCCACACCATCAAGCTCAATTGCTATGATTCGGCTTGCTGAGGTGTTTGCAGTGACGCTGCATAAAATTCCCAGAAATCCCACACTAGTTTCACAGGGATCGGTATTGAAATCCCAAGTCCTGAGGTAGGAAGTGGAGGGAAATGAGTTGGGATCAAGAGATTGTATCAGGGCTCGAAGAGTTTCAATGTCAGATTCTAGGGTTAACGCATGAACAAATGCAGGAACAAAAGCTAGAACCAAAGCTAAAATGATGAAAGGTGAAGAGGGGAAAAAGGAATGCAAGTGGCTTGCCATTGGTGTTGGGAGTTTACCTTCTGAATTGTGTTTCCTTCCCTGATGTTGTTTTATACAGTTCTGAGCAAGAATCTTTAAATAGGTATTATTTTAGACCTACTTCCCATTTGTCAATGACATTTTTTACGCAATAACAGGTCTGGCTCAAAGCTTGTGTATTGGTTTTGAGTAGGCATTTCAACCTACTTCACTTTTACAAAGAAGCGGGAAACACGGTCATCCAAAGAGTGCATCTCCTCCCTTTTTTTTTTCTTATCTCAGGCACCATAAATTGTTCATAAGCAAACCATTCACAGCTCTACCAATGTCCTGATATTCAGGGTGTTTGGTTAGAAATAACCAAGACATGCCTGAAATATTTCACTAGTAGCCATTCAAGCATTAAAGAGTAGTAATTCATTGAACTATTGCGTGCACGCGGTTTTACTATATACATAACACCCCAAAAGTATAGAAGGACGGATTCACAATAACAGCAAACATGCATAGAAGAAAATATGGGTTAAGTATCACCTCGAACCTTTTTTAGCTATCCTAAATTGATGTAACTTATACATAGGTGTTATGTACGCATGAAGAAGTATGCATACTTGGAGGGAAGTATTATACTCTTATGGTTCATCAACCTATCCCTCACACAATTCCATCAACGCTCAGCCAAGATTGGGGACAGTGAAGAACTCATCATTATCATCATCATCCAGGATCTCAATCCTGGGCTTCTTCAAAGGCATATTATATTTGGTGGGTCTATATGAGCTAACACTGGTTGACTGTGATACTGGGAGCTGAGGGACTTCAGCCGCAGCAAAAGCATCTTGAGCTAGTTGCTCACCAAAGAGACCCATGTCTGCCAGCCATTCGAACCCCCCAAGCTCAAGTTGCTCCTTCTGCATATCGAGAAGAAGAAATAATTTTAAGATAGGTGAAATGAAGTATTAGGACAATCAATCCTCATCAGTTCTGTCCTTCAAGACTCCAAATTATCATCCCATGTTTCCCATCACTCAAGTTTTGAAAACCATATGGATATACAAAATTTTGGATGCTCAAGATATAACTAGTGAAAGTAAAATCATATATTAGCATAGGTGCAAAGTAAAAACACATTGAATCTCACCTTCTCAGGAGACTCAGCTTCTGCAAATTGCAACAGGTCATCAACAGCCCAATGAGGTGAGAAGCTTGGTTGTTGCTGCTGCACAGGCATCTTCATGGAGACCTGTGGTGCACTTGTATTGGGTGGCTCCAAGCAACTCTTTTCAGTGTCCTTAGAACAACTAGAGCTCAAGGCAACCCGGATTCCCGTGGCCAGGTAACGCTGATGATTTGCGGAAAGACTACCAGCTAAATGGATAGGTTCATCACAATCCCGGCAGAAAAGAGCTCTATCTTCTACACAGAAAATGAAGGCTGGCTTTTCCTGCACATCAAATTGATGGAGAGTAAGAGAAGATGACCCTAGCTACTGATATTTCAAAACTTTATACAATAAACAAAGGAAATGGCCATAAACAGTCTTGGAGTATAGGATCTAAAATCAGAACCGCTCTATATATATGGTAGGTTTTGGTTCTAAAACCCTGAAAACAGTCTTTAAAGGGTAGGCTCTAGGGGTGGGATCTAGTCACTCCCAATAGGGAATTCTGAAATTTGAACAAGCAAAGACCAAAGAGGGCTTGCTATGTTCCTTGTTCATATACTAATAAAGAAAATGGACTCTTTTCTTATCCTGTTTCTCTCAAGTATCTACCTTGTAATGATTAGTCTTACTCTTTTCAGAATTATAACAGTAACAGACAATTCAACGCTCTTAAAACCCTAATCAGCAGGTAAAACAACACAGATCCCACACAATCCAGACACAGCATCTGATACAAGAAAGAAGACAATATTTCTAAGAAACAGAATAAATGACATAAAAACTGCAGCCAAACAAGATATAACACAGAATCAAAATTAAAGCATGAGAGAAACAAAGGCAACCCAAGTTACCCGGCAAATATCACATGGAGGAAGCTTGTTTGAGAGGCACTGAAGGAGAAGCCTCTGGTGCTTGCTTGCAAGCTTATTGGCAGCATGAACTTCAATGTCACATTTTGGGCAAAGTGCTGCCTCATCCGCGCAACATATCACAGTTGCAGGAGCTTTCTCACAGACATCACACTGGATTTTCATCTCCCTGTATTGATTTTTTTTCCTGGATTTTCACAAATACCCACCTGTTTATATGAGTTTTTTCTAGCTTCTTCAATCTCTTGCCTAGATATGAACCAAGATTCAACAGGTACCCATAATTGTAAATCTTGCACTAACAGATGCAAGACTACCTCCGATTCACAGGAAATTGCAAACCCAAGAAGCATAAAAAGATCTGATCTTTGGGAAACCCTTTTGAAGCAAAATCACCCTGAACCCACTCAGACAAAATCCTGAATTCAAATTGCAATTTTGCACCAAACCTAGCTAAAAATCTTTTCGGTGAGAAACGGGAACAAGAAACAGGAAAATATCAGGAAAAGAGAAAAGCAACAACCAGTGCAAGCTAGAAGCTGTGGAAGATACAGAAAGTAGGATGACTGGTGGAGGTTCAAAGAGCTATAGTGCTGGAGATAAGGCTCCAGATTTTGCAAATCGAAGTCAAGACATCCTGTGCTGACAGCAAAGCATTGTGGGGTCATCAAAGATTTTTTTTTTTTGGAAAATGGGCAATGGATGGGGTCATCAAGATTGTGGCTGTGGTTTCTTAGCAGTATCTAGTTGTAGTACTAGTATTTTAAACATGGTTTAATGCCCAATTTGGTCCCTAAACTTTCATTTCTAAATTTAGTTCATCCTTTAACTTCATAGAGCACCCAAATTATCCGTAAACTTTATCTTTTCGTAAACCAAATGGTCCTTCCATTTCCACCCATAAATGCAAACCTGGTACGTTAAGTCTCCACCAATTATCTCTTTTAATTTTCACAAACTTATGTAAAAAAACATCACATCAAATTGATGATATGGCACCAATTTTCATTCTAAATCTCATTCTTGTCCATCCGGCCTTCTAAATAAAATAAAACAGTGGTATACACATGTCATTGTCTTTCTGCAAACTCCCCTTCCAGAATCTACTCTTCACTCTCTCTTTCGCTTTCCCCTTCCAAAATCTACTCTTCCCTTTCCCCTTTAACCCTAAATCCTCAGCGCTCCTGATTCTTTCTTCTTCAAAACCATCTTCATCCTTGTTTTCCTCATAAACAGCAAACATCCTAGCAGCCGCAATGGCATATAAGGGAAAAAAAAAAACTCCATTATGTAGCTAATATTGCAGGAAACATGAACATTAAAAATTCAAAATATAACTTTTATCTCACCAGTGGGTGGCAAAATGTCCTTGACAAAAATGAAGATGGCCTTCTCAGGACTGAGCTTAATCCTCTC